AGAGCGTCGGGGAAGATGCGAGAATCTAATGGGAACATGAATTACGAAATCCAAAAAAATTGAAAAATAAAAATAAATAATTAATTAATTAATTAACAATCCGATTTCGACCCTCCGGCTCCTTTCTTTCGGTCCGATCTAGCCAAAAATTCCAATCAATTTTTTAGTGATTAACGAGCTCAAGCAAAATTGGTTAGATTTATAGCCCTAATATTATCCAGATAACTAGTCATTTGACTTCGAGCCGATTTTCGGTGAGTCTTAAATCAGCTTATTTATTTCAATTTGATCTCAATCCGAGCCAAAATTCAAATTAATTTTGAGAGATTAATGATCTTCGAGCTAAATTCACAGTCTTATATGCTCACTCACACGTGTCTATTTCCAATTAGGTTAGTGAAGATGGCTTTGTAGGTTGTTTGGGTGGGGCAGGAATGTCCATTTGTTCTCAAATGTATTTCAAATAAATTTGATTTTAATTTAAGAAATGATTATGTTTATGAAGTTATATTAGGAAATTAAAATTTTGATTTTAGAAATGAGTAAGAGAATTTAGTTAAAATTTATAATAATGAAGAAAAAATTAAGGTTAAAAATTTTTAATGTGGAAAATGTTAAGTATTGTGTAACTATTTTTAGTAGGAAAAATTATATTTATGAAAAAAAATTATATTTTTGAAAAAGTTAGAAATTTATACCTTTTATTTTCAAAACTTAAATTTCTTTTATTGAAATTAATTTTCAAAACTATTATTATGTTTTTAAGTGAAAGAAAAATATCAACACTTTCCTTTAGGAAAGTAAGAATGAAATTCATAACCATTAAAGGTCTAACCAATATAGTAATCATTGCTTCAGAAAAAGAAATAAGAAAAAAAAAAGAAAAAGAAAGAAAAAGAAAAAGAAAAAAACTGAAAAATGGAGGAGAAGCTTGAGGATTAGTGTCTAATCAAAAGTTGGTTTCACATCTGATCTTTCTAGAGTATAAGACTTGAGAAACTCTTATGCTTAAGAATATAATATAGTGAGTAAAATTATGCTTAATAAATTTTTTAAGTGGAGATGACAAAATGCCTAAACTATATATTTGAAAAATCTACAATATTTTTGAATTAGATAGTAACTCATATTTTCATATTTCTTAACATTAAAAATTTCTAAACTTTAAGTTGATATTATTTACTAATATTTTTTTTCTTAATTGGAGTAATATATTTCTACATCAAAATTTTTGTAACTCCTAAAGAAAGTCATATACATTATTTACTTATGTTGGTTTTTAGAGATTGAAAGGTCACTTGAGGACAAATAATATTTTAAATTTGGGAGATTTTGATACACCTAAAATATATAGTGTTTTTATACACATTTTTATACCTATTTTTGAGATATTGCGCTTTAATGAAAAATATTTGTGTGTTTTTCTTTCAGGCATAATCAAATGGATGAAAATTATTAGAAGGAGTGAAAATGAGACAAATTTGGAACAAAAATGAAGAAATGTGCAAAAATAAACTGGGGCGCCTAAGCGTTAGAAGCTCTGCGCCTAAGCGCCAGGTACCCCACGTCTAAGTATCAGAAGTAGTTACTTGATGATATATTTAATTTGAGCAGACTTTTGAAGAGTTGTTTAAAGAAACCCTTAATAAAAACGTGGGAAATAGCCCATGGACATGAAAAAATTCATTCAATTGGCTTTTGAGGAGGCAACTTCTAGAAGATTCAATGAATGGAGACACCTTTTTGAAGAGACAGCAAGACACCCCTTGGATTTTTATAAGAAAAGAATTAGATTTTGTAAGAGAAGAGACCAACCGCCCATCAAACTTTACAGCCATCATTCATTTTAGTAAACCGCCGTCGCCGCCAGCCACCTTTTATTTTTATTTTGAGTTTTAGTTTGTATTGTGAGTGAAGTAAGATAATTCAAAGGAACTTCAAGATATTTTGTGGAGGGGATTTGAGATAAGTGTTTATCTTTGTGACTACATTTGGTTTTAATTTAGATTTCTTATTTGTGTGCATGATTTCTACTTTTAAACTCATGTGTGGTTGCGTTTTTTTCATGAATTCTAAGCAGTTTTCTTTATTTTTTTCCTTAAAATGATAAGTGATTAAGTATTGGATGGAAGTTGTGTGAAGTATATTATGTGAAGTATTGGACTTCAATATTGGAAGAAGTTGTGATGATTTGAAACATTGCATTTCATTTACTTTTTTATTTAGCCAATTAAGATGTTAATACATGTTGTGAGAACATGTAAGATACGAGATGGTATTGTCTCAGTCAACAATGGTTAGAATCACATGTTGATTTTATGAATGAGAATGTAGTTCATGAGGTTGAGTGTAAATAAATAAGGAAATAAATTTTTAAAGAGTGTAGAATTAGAGGAATTTAGAGTGACAGACTAAATCCCTCAATTTGATTTACAGTTTTAGATTTTGATACTAGATGTTAGCCCCCAGGTGAAGGGAGAAGAGGGAACTCTAAAGTGAGAGTTAGTATCTTCTTTGACTAGCCGGTCTTCAAGACTATTCAAACTATAAATTAGTCAATGTTATTTAGCATACTTCCATAACATAATTTTTATATTTATCATGATACATAATAAAAAAAAATTTATTTATATTACCTTCATCTTACAAGTATTTTAGTTAAGTTAATTAGTTGCTTAATTTATTTTCAATTATAAAAAATTACAAAAAAAAATCGTACTTTCATTCCTATTTTAGCATCTTAAGTTTAAGTAAGAATATATATTGCTAAGTAAATTTTGTTATCTAAATCTAGCTCTCCCCGATATTCGAGATTTAATCAAAAAATTTTATATTACTTTATAACGATACATATACTTGTGTAGTATCCCATATTGAAATATTATAACTGCATTCTTATTTGTTTCATAGTGAAAGATTTACCTAATTTTTGCTTTAGATCAAGTTTTTGGTTTTGTTGCAAATTAAGAATAACTATTAAGAAAATTAATCATATAATCATATACATCGCATTTTACATCTATATATATAGAATGTATGGATCAGGGAGTCGGGAGAGAGATCAGGGCAAGACCGGGAGGGAGGTGATTTCGAGCGGGATATAGGATTAGTTCTGATGGCATGTCAATGGCTTTAATTACCTTAGTTAATAAAATAATTAATGACGGTTGTTCCCATCGCTTGATAATAAAATATGTCGATTAAAACCCCACCAGATGACAGGTTTGAAGATAACCTGTGAACTATAGTCGTAGGTTAATGTTTGCTTATGACTGATGAGTTATTTCATTGATTATAATTAAAAACAGTCGGAAAATAAAGAATTGTTGATAAATGAAGGTTTTTGTTGTAGTTATGCCATCGCGAATAACCAATTTCAATAACCTTTGCAAAATTGTCGATAATTAGAAAAATTTACCGATGTGTATAAAGTTGTTGGTTTTTCCGTTGATTTTAGTATTTTTCTTATAGTGTTATATCAGTTTAGTAGCATCCTTGAGAGAGTTTAGGTGATTATGAAATTTAGTGGTTTGTTGTCCCTATAGATAAGTAGTTCCAATAATTTCTTGTTGGCAAGTAGATAGTTACGTTGTTTAATATCTTTGAAGACAATTGGGTTCAACAATTTGTTATTTTATTTGATGTTTTAAAGATTAATTTGAGGTCCATGTTTTATTATTTTTTTCTTGGTTCAAGCAAGGGTGCAATTCTTGCTTGCATGTTGTGTTATGAATTTTTAGAGACTTAAGAAATCAGGTACTGTGGTTGGCGTATGGGATTCGTTGGTTGTGATTGTTTTTGTGAAATTTTAGCAAGTGTAAGGTATTCCTTGTTAAATTTAGAGATCTGGATATTTGATTGCCATTGGGGTTTTATATTGTATTTAAAGCGGAAGTTACATGCACATCACATAATTCTTTTGTATGTACATATCTTCCAGCTAAACTTTAGATATGTGAAGTCAAATATTTGAGTGTTATATAAGTAAATATTAAAGTTTAGTTGTTTGATGCATGTGTGTGTGTGTGTGTGTTTATATATGAAATATGTGATGGTGGTTTGGTTGTTGTTGTTTATGTGGTGGTGGTGGTTTGGTGCTTGTCTCTTGAAATTGAAGAGGTTGTGCCCTTGGGATTCTCCTATCTGTGATGGCTTGATTCTTGCTATTTGAAATTTATAGTGTTGTGTTATTGGGGTAGTTTTGGTAGTGGCAGAGAAATTTACTTGTGAATCTCTAAGAATCTCTAAGGCACAACCTCTTATATACATATATAGCAAGTCAATTTTCTTTCATTTTTTGTGATATGTTTGATTTTTGTGGCCTAGTGGTCTCTCTTGCTCATTGGTTGTGGGTGTGGTCTGGTTATCTTTGTTGGCTGTTGGTTGTGGGTGTGGTTGTAGTTTTTCAATGTTGGATGCTGGTCAGGGTTGACTCTGGTTTGTGTTGTGGCTTTGCACTGATGGTTTTAAATGTGAGACATTGATGCCTTTGTTTTTTTGAAATATTATGTATGACAATGATGGGAAAAAGATAAAGTTCTCAATCGATCATCAATTGTCATTTACATAAATGACAACACTGGTTTGCCACATATATTACATGGTCTAAAAACACACATTACAATGTAAACTATGGATACTACCTGGTTTCATATCACATATGTCAGTATTAATCACATGTACTATCTTCTCTTAAAGCACACATCACACCATTGAGTATGGATACTACTTGGTCTTAGATCACACATGTCACTGCTAATCACAAATAATACTTAGTCTTAAAGCCTGTATGATATAATTGGTGATCCTATATAGAGCATTCTTTGATAAATTGATCTCATCGAGCTCTAATTCAATCCACTAGTTTTTTTTTCTTGTTTCATTTTTTATAATTATTTTATAAATTGTTGAATTAAATTTTTTCATCCAATGTTTAGTTTGCAGGGTACATCACATAGGTAAACAAAAGAAATGTAGGATAACAATCATTTGGGAGAGGGGAACAAAGATCATATTTTATGTTTAATTCTTGAAATAGATAGAAATTGGTAACAAACCAACACACACATCAATTAGGAAGGTTAACAAATTATTACCAAAAACTTTCATGTAAAAATAAGAATATTGTATCATAAAACTCAGTTGAAGAAAAAATCAGAATATTTGAGAAAATATTGAAAATTATGGAGGGAGTTGAAGAGAGGGGTTACTGGATTAGGTTGTACCCATTTTAAAAAACTATTAATGCATTGATAGAGTGATGAAGAGAAAATATTTCAATCAGTAAAAAATGTTTTATTGAGTTGTGAAGTTATTGTAATGTGATTTTATTAAAATAAAATTTTATCAATTGAAAGTCTTACCAAATGCAAAAAAAAAAAGACTTTCCTAGTATAGACGCTAAGCTGTAGAATAAACTTGATAACATGTTTCTCGGTGTTGTAGCTACAGGCATCAATGTTTGGGCTACAACACATGAACCCACCTAGAATTTGAATGAGCTCAAATTTGTTTATTCTAATAAATTCCAAGAAAAGCACCATAAAAGAGAGAACAAAATGAATCAAGTTATTCCAAGCAGCCCACACCCTCTACCCAAAAGCGTAAAGAAAATGAAGAGTGGGACGACATACTTATATGAGCAGATATCACAGGCAATTACAACCTGCACTATTATCACATCCAGTGCTCGTATAGCTTTGTAAAGATACCCAACTATGACAGATTTTTTGAACCTACTAGACTCTACTCTTGAGATATTTAATGATGTGTCTCTGTATTTATTTATTATAAAACTTCTAGAGGATCAAATAAGCATGAGGATTTCTTCATACTTCTTTCGAAACGGAGGATTCCTTATCTCTGCTATTTTTTGACAATCAAACTAATTGGTTTACCTTTTTTTATTACCATTTCATTTTGTTGTTTGTAATGATTTACACTTTTACGTTGAGTAATATCTTATTTCATGTTTATGTGATAATTTAATATTTATATTTATGTTATGAGCTATTTTTGCATTTATGTTCACATCTAACATAACTTATTTTTTTCTATATATTCTAACATTCATACAATAGTTAGATGAACTAATCAGATGAAGAGGAAATTACATAAATAGTGGAACGATCAACAACTCTAACTACAACAATATGTTTTATTAATTAGTATTATCAGAAAAATGCGGGCATGACACCGCTTGTGTCATCATCTTTTGTGGCTGGCAAGTCGATTGGTGAGCTGCTCGAAGCTTAATCAAGTAGAATTCATAGTATGTTTCAGATTCTAAGAAGTCATTTCAGTGATTTACTTGATGTAACAAATTTTATTCTTTTCATGAATTATCCCACGTTACCCCCATGGAAGTTTTAGCCATCACGCTACATATTATGTCATAAAATGAGTCCATTCATGCTGCTTCCGAGTAATTTCATCACTCCACATAGACGATAGACATGTATTTCAATATTAGGATTAACACATTGATAAGATTATCAAACAACATTGTGAAACTCATATATCATGCTTTTGTGCATACACTAAGAGCATTTCACAGTGATACGAGATACATACAATTCTTTAATGCATCGATATTTCTATTTATTTTTGCAACAGTGTTTTAAAACAAAAAAATATTGGTCCAATGAATTTCTTAAATAGGATTGTATAAAAGCAATTAACAAAACATATGTTGATGCAAGTGTCAGTAACTATAATAAGATTTCATATATTAGACGGTGCGATGCTACTACTCATAATATCTCAACATTTTATGAATTTAATATGTGTTTTACATTTTTGATGGCTGGATTGAAAGAGAGTGCTCATGATAAACAAATATTCAAATTTTTAACCTGACGATGTGAATACAAATTTCAATACCTCCACCAAGTTAATACATTCATGATCGCATATAAAACATTTGATTTGAGAATATATAATAATATTATTATTATTTAGAAAAAAAATTACTCTCTTGATTTAGGATATCCATTACAACTGGTTTCTTAAAGCCCCTCCCTAATAAGAGGTACCGTCTTCTTAACTTTGAGCACAACAACCAACTGATTTCAGGGAGGAATGAATTGTTTAAAAAAGTCACTAATCATTGAAGAGAGTTATCAAAAGGACATTTGGTGTATAAAAGAAGAATTAGCTCATATTTCGAGATATGTCGATGTATTTCTTAAAAAAATGTAAAAATAGCTACTACAACAACAACGCTACAGTTTTATAAAGGGGCATCCATCTCAGAATTATATTAATGTCAAGGTCTTAGATGAATATCCAACATGCATATTCGTGGAATCATTCTAACATTGGGTCGGGCAATTAATGCCCTATGAAGGCATTGGTACGAATGACTTCAACATATCCGAAGAGGAGGGTGTTCAAGAGATGATCTTATTGAGATAAGAGATTAAAGATACTTGGATGAACTCATCGAGTGTATTTTTGTAACATTTTGTAGTGTTTTCTTATAGATGTTTACTTTTTTAGATGTATTGATGATTTGCAGATGTTTACTTCTATATTTATGCAAATTTTATATTTAAGATTTGTTGATATCTACTTTTTATATATATATATAGTACC